CTAACAATTTAGCAGCATTGCATGTGAACATCTGAGAATCAATTGAAATGAAAAAAAGATTTTTTTTTTTAACTTCGATAAACTAACTGTAAAATTATTACTTTCTATGTTTCAGTATTCACTGAGATTTTTCTATGATTAAGATAAAATTTATGTGACAAAAAATACGCTAGCATACTGGCATTATATGGTTATAGAAAACATACCATACTTGACTAAAAAGAAGTCTTTTCAACAGATTCTTTAATGCATTTCAATCCAAGATTTCATCTCTTGCATGAAAGAGCCGGTCCTCAAAATGTTTCCTAAACAGCCCTTTATTCAACAGATTTAATGGCACCCACCATCTTACAGGCCATTACAACATAATGGATCATTCATTTACATTTCTGCTAATATAAAATTTAGAAAAAACAAACTCTTTTATTAATGGAAGATACAAACAATTAAAATCTAAAAAGTATTTTTGTCTTTTTTCTGTTGTAGCTTCCACTGGATGCCAACTCAGTGATACCCAGTGTTGATGTAAAGCAAACCACAGTTTTCCAGCCAAATAATTAAGAAAATTTAGTATGAAAATGCAAAGCCAAGGCAGTATTTTGCACTGTGATATGCACTCCAGATCTGAAAAATTCTTTCTCCATTAAAAATTTGCTGCCACTATGCCAAGATAAATAAAAGCTCTGATAAATATTTCAAAATGAGAGCCTCATTTGTCGCTTATCCAAACACTACAGAACAGCAGAGTAAAAGAGTTTTTGGATAGACTCTTAGATCCAGTAAAAGAGACAATCAAAATATATTTAAGACTCCGAAATACCACATAGGAACAACATAGATACCTATACAACAGCCCTGTTACCAATCAGCAAAGAAAGCAGGTGCTGTGTGATGACCAGAGATGATAGAAAACTTAGATTTTAAAAACATAAAAGAGTAATCTTTGCTTTTGGAATCCAAAGGGATCCAGTGAAGCCTGTCCAGATGGAATTAAACACAATCCTGGATATAAGACTCAAATGGAGATATCACAATGCAAATAGCAGGCTCTGTCCTTACAAAGAACATCTGTTGTGAGGTTGTTTACATTCCTACCAACATGGAAAAGCGTATATAGCTAATTCTCCATTGCAGCCAGACATCTTAGGGGGAGTACAAAGTTACTTCTTAGTAGGTTTTAAAGCATTACAAACACACACGGCTTTTCACTAACTCACAACTTTGTCATCTGTAAAAAACAGACAAATAGGGATTTGGGGCACAGAGAAACCTTCTGATTTCATTTGCATATAATTTGACAGGGATTTATGTCTACATTATTTTATATTTATTATATGGAATTTTGTAGTTTACTTCCTCCCTGTTACAAGGAGGAAACGGTGTCCATTCATGAGTCCCTTGCTGAGCAGTCTGCTAGAAATGGAGAGCTTCCAGCCTGTGGGTTAGTGGTGTGCTCTTGCTCTTCCAGAGACAATAACTAGACAGTGTTTAACCTGACTAGCTCAGGAAATTAGAGACAGGTTGTAAATTATAGGTTATTACTGCAATTTAATACTCCTCTTCTCTGTTGTCCTGCTCTAGGTTTTCAGGAGAAGTTGAGTTCTTTTTTTTTCTTTTCTTTTTATTAGGAGAAACTCAAATATATTCAAGCAGAGACCACCAAGTGCTTGCTCTATGGTGCAATGGGTGGCCAGTGGGAGGGAGGGAACAACCACACAAAATGTTATTGATTTGCATTAAAATCACTTTATTAAATGCTACCACTTTAGACTGCTTGCTCTGTTTTAACAATGAAGATTTAAATAGTAGAGTTAAAGTGCTGACCTTAAAAGCCACATTATAAAATTAAATTTGAATAAGTCTGCTACTTCTTCTGCTTACTTATGTCAAATAATTACTGGGTTTCTCCCCATTTGTGGTCTCTCTCTATCAGCATTGCTGTTCAACACTGCATTCCTAGTGGTTAGTGCTCTTTATTTTATTTATTTATACATACACACACACACGCGCGCTGTCTCCTATCAAAGGATAGCTCAGACATCAGCACTGAGCACAAAACGACAGCTGTGAATTTATACCACAGAATACTTTGGCTTTATTCCTTCATGTAGTGTAGAAAAAAAGTTAGTGCAAAAATTGAAATACAAAGACCACCAAGAGCAAAGGAAGACCAGAGAGATGTAGTCTGGGAAGAAGGCTTGCTATAAATACAGCATTTCCAAAGTAAGCAGTATAGTTTGTATATGAAAAAAATAATGTGAACAGTGCTTAAGAACAAGAGAGGAAATGTATTTGTAACTGTAATCCTATAATTTCTAGTTTCTACTATATATATATTTTTATGGTGCAGATCATACTGTATCATCTAATCTTTACCCTGCCAATTCTTTACTTTTGCCGCTTTCATTTTTGGCTTTCAGAAAAGCAATTTTTGAAACAATCTGAGCATATCTGATTTAGAAATAAATTACACCAATAAAGCTTTTTATGATGACTTGAAATTACAAACAAAATCTTTCTTTTCTTCTTCCTACTCAAACTACAGAATAAATTTGGAGAAGAAACTTTACTATTAGCACAGCAGCCTGATTACAAAGGGCAATTACTAATTTTGAAGTACACTAGAAAGACATGACCTGATTACAGCACAGTGATTAAGATACAGATATAGATTAAGATTAGGAGGCACTGATATGACCGACAGAATAAAATTAAAGTCACCTTTCTAACAGCTAGTGATTTACAAAAGATCTTATACTTTGCAAAAGTTGGAGCTGAGCAAAGGTAATTCATGTTTTACTTCTGAAAGATTTAGGTTCTCATCCATTTCCATGGGAGCCAGGCAACCGCGCACCTTTGAAATAATGGCCTTGATCCTGATTCTGAAAGCACTTGTATATATTTCACGAGCGTGGTTCATTTTATACAATCCTGAGTTATTATTGTGAGTTATTTACCATGTGAAAATCAGCCATATGGCAAATAGCTGCAGGAGTCAAAAGCTATGAAGCTTAATGTCAAATACTTTTCCTACATTGAGTTTTTTCAGTCTCTGAAGAAATCTTCTACAGAACTGTTCATGGCACTGAATGGTCATTCTCAGACAGTGAGAAGTACAGTTGGAGCCAGACTTTTCTTTCTAGGGAGAGCAATTCCTTTGCCATAATTAGAGGCACTGAAGCACCCTCCACAAAACACAGTCATTTCTTTAATAAGTGACACTGAGCACTACCCCAGCCTACAGCAGCTTTCTCAGTTTGAAACACAAAAGCAGCCAAGTCTCAAAAACTTCAAAGAAAGCTTTTCATTTTATTTTCTCCTTGATCCACTGATAGAGCAGTTCCTTTTCTTGAATTTTGTAAAATGACTTTTTCACTCATCAGACCTGTGTAACAAATCACTGTCTCAATCACCAAATGTTCCCATTTGACTCATCCACTTTTCCTTCGGCCTTTGGGTAGGAAGCTTCACTTCTGAAACATTTTCTAAATTCACTTCTGTGAACTCTTCTCCCTCAGTTGCACTTTGTTCTATTTTAAAAAATAATTGCATTTCCTGCAACATAGTGTGCTAGTTTCAGGTTTCTAAATTTCATCAGAACCCACATTTTCTTTCTTAGATAGAGCAATGTCTTTTCCTTAAGAAGCACCATTTTCTAGCACACTATCAGCTGTAACATGGCACTTTTTAAGTGGCAAATGCCATAACATAACATTTTTCCAGAATTCTCAGTTTCATTCTACTAACTAAGATCAGCTTTTTCACTAATAACATATTTGTACTCTCATGTATATTGTTTTGTTTTTGTTTTGGTCCAAGATTTTCTAATTTCTGAACTTTGCTGGTTCAGTCTGTTCTAAGACAGTATCTCCTCTGGGGAAAACTCTTTAACAAGACAGAACTGTCAATAATCCTAATCTTTTTAAATCTTAAAAGATCTGGAAGGGTATAAAGTTCTACTCCTCCAGGCTTTTTCCTGCCTCAACTCAGACAGGCCAACTTCACATAGCTATTTTCTGCAGGGAATGAAGTTAATCCTCTTCAAGATGTAAGATCAAACCCTGTAATATGAATGATATTTTCAACTAGATATTTACATTTTCAGGTATACCATCCAGTAGTGTACAAACCAGAAAGCTGCAGAAGCTCAGAGCATAGTTATGATCTTTGCTTACTGAGACCAACTGGAACAGAAACACCGTCATTTTACATTAACAGTGAAATGCAGCAGAGTTGAGTCTGTTCACCATTACTTAAGTTTTATGTAGTCAGCTTTATCACCTTCTTCTGTATGATAGCAGATTTTAGCCTACATCTGTAACTGCTACAGTTAGGCATTAATCTTCAAAAGACAAATCTGAGCATATATAATATTTAAGAATGATGGTGATCACTCCATAGAAAAAGGGTAAAGAATCCCAGCTTCTGAACAACACAAGACCAGTATAAAGCATGTGGTCCCAGAGAAATGAAGTCGAAGCTGTTTGATCAAAATTCCCCAGAGTCAGAACCAATGTTCCACAAATGGGCACAAGTTGGACAAGATTCATCCAGTCAGCTGCCTACTGCCTGGCCAAATATCCTTCTTCTGCTCCTACGAAGCTGTTTTTCTGCCTGCTCATTTCCATCTCCCCTGTTTCTCATGGGGGCTCCCACAGCACTTGAGGCGCCATTACACTGTCCCTCAGTCAGTAATCCACATTTCCCTCTGCCTGAGGTTCGCTCTCTCCCCTTCAATTTCCACAGCCCACACGTCCCACTCTGTCACCCCTTCCTCCTCAGCCACCTCCTGGCTCTCATACTTTGTGGCCTGGGGTTTCTTTCCTGACCCCAGGGATACAGAGACCAGAGTCAATTTCTGGCAGAGCACTGAGCCCTGAGGGAAGGGCTGTGGCTGGGCCCAGCCTCACCTTCCTCTAGGGCATCCCAGCTTAAATCACCCAACCCTCCACAAAGACAGCAAGATCCGGAGAGCCCACAGACTCCACAAGAAGACAGAAATGAACCTGGATGCTTTGTTCCAGCAAATACAGCTCACAGAGAAGCAGGCAGGGGAAAACAGGCGCCTCATCCAACAAGGTCTGCACCATGGCTGCCATCTTGTGGGTCTGAAGGCAGCACCATCTATACTTAATGGACTCTCCATTTCCCAGGGGAAAAGGAGGGTGGACGTGGACCCACCATGCTGTCATGAGGAGACCTCTGTCAGTGAAAGCTCGGCAGGCAGGCAGCATGGCTGGCTGCTTCTTGCCAATGGCACATTTTTATAAGGGTGTAGCTTTTAGAAACTGAGCACACAGTCTTACAGGTTTTTGTTCTTTTGCAGTTAAATTCGACATAAACAGAAGTTATGAGAAAATTAACCAAATAAAAGAAGAGCTGAGCACAGCAAAAATGAAATTAGAATCTAAGGTAAGTGGGCATGCTTGTAGTACACATACCAATGACATACATTATATTTACAAATATATGACTTATTCTTTCAGGAATAGATTCAAAAAACACTTTCAACGAGTATGCTTCACCTACTGAGTAACACAGTGTAAGTAAAACCTACATTGTATACTTCTGCAGTGAAAAAAGGTCTGTCAATGTCTTTCCCCTCTCACAAATCTCACCCTTCAGGCTTGCCCCGGCTATGTTCAGGGACTCGCTTACCTCAGGTGCAGGAACATTTCCAGATAACACTTTCAAAAATCTGAAAGAACTCGGCAAGGAGTGACCACCACGTCAGGTCAGTCCACCCACAAGAGGCAGCCAGCAGACATCAGCTGGGGGCAGACTGCGTGATCAGGTACGGTGTGAGCGGCCCTGTCTTCACGATCCGTGAAGTGCTCATTGCAGCACTTTCCTTCAGAGGGCTGGAAACCATTCCTTCACTGCCCACTGCCATTCACCAAAGGCCTTTCACAGAAAATACGTGGAAACATTCCCTGGTTTTACTTCACAGCATCTTGACTCATATACTAAAGATCTTGCTGTGAGCCTGGGCTCACAGTCACGGCTCTCAAGGTTTAAGAGTTTTTCTAGGGATGCCAAAGACACCGGAAAGTTTCTGAATCTATTTAATGTTTTTAAGATTTTATTATGCTTTCCATTTAAAAAAACTACAGACATATTTTTAGATTAAGCTTCCAGTTTTGCAGAGCTTTTTGCCATTAATATTTGTGGTTTCAAATGACTTAAAAATCCATTTGCTTATGCCTGAAAATGAAGTCTAAGTATCAACTCCTGTGCTCTTAAGTATCTGTGCCAGCAGAATGTGTATGCACAACAGGAAGGCATATGGAGCCTCCTTTGAAGTCAGAACTGTTGAATCCTACCACTTAAATAAACATCTTCAAGAACCTCTGTGAGATTACCTCACCTAGTTGTGAAAATAAATATTTGGGGATGATTTTCATCATTCCGAAAACAGGCTTTTCTGCCTTTTGTAAAAGACTATGTAATATATATAATAAATATCAAGATTACCACAAGGTGTTTAAAATAAAAGAGAACTCATTTACAAATATTTACTGGTTCCAAATTGAGACTATAATAATGCAAGCAGTTATTCACGTGCTTGCATTTATGCATACCACAATCTCAGAGCCCAGAAGCACTTTAAAATAGTAACTTATTTAACCAACACAGATTATATCTGGGGTAAAGCTTGTTAGGTAAAGTCCTTCATAGTCTTGCTCATAAATTTATTTATGAACATCACAATTTTATGTTTATAGTACTAATTTGTTATTGATGCATTGTGATTTATAATCAAGGTTTATGTGGTAGGTATAGAAGGTCCCAAGGGTAGAGCCATTATTGTAAATGACTAATGGGAAGAGCTGAAGAACTATTCCTAATTAAATCTTATGTACTTTACCCACCAGGATTAATAATATTCTGACTGATGTCCACAAAAATATATTTTACTTGCTTGCTTAATCTGACATTGATTCATTCATAGATAGGAGATGATACAGAAAACAAGCAGAATGGGAAAATGCACTTCAGCCAAACTGCATTTAGGTTTAAAGATTATATCGTTAATGAAATGATTTAAAATAATTTATTTCTTAGTACAGGAATTAAGTTTACATGTGTCTACAATAGGTACTGTATTTAAAATAATATTAAATAATGCTGTTCAGCTAATGCTGTTCAATTTGTCCTGCACCAAATAACTGCACTTCTTTATAAGCATACATATCCAAGCACATGCATGCACAGCAGCCTATGCCTGACCAAGCAGATGAGACTGAGTTCAAAAGTGGTTTGACATCTATTTCACAGACGCTGCCTGTGGTCAATCACAGATTCCTAGAAAATGCTATTCCTTTGCCTCCATTCTGTAAAATCAGGTAGCATGTAATTAGAACCCAAATTACAGCATTTTGCTTTTCATGGTTCACTGATTTCTTAAACCTTTTGCAAATGCATGAATTGAGTTGGCCTCTTACAGATGGAGAAACTACACTGCAACTAGTTATGGTCAGCAATATAAATACAGTGGCATGAAACCGTCTACTCTCTTTGAATGAATATGTAAAATAAATATTTCTGAGGCAAGAACTTCTGGACATTTAGCATGCCGGACATATCAGGGATAAGGAAAAAATATGGTCCTTTCCTTTCCAACTCTCACATTCTAGTCTTAGGGCATTTGACTCCACCCTCCTCCTCTTTTGATCAGATGCACTTCATCTGCACATTATTTCATTTTTACCTCTGTAGTATCACGATTATTTGGGTTTTTTTCTGCTTCTGCACACACACACAGTCATGTATCAGCCTGACTATTCAGTTTACTTCCTGATACTTACCCTGTGCCTTTACAGTCTCTGGACAATTCTGCTAACTTTACTTTTGCTACTTACTGTTCTGAGTCATTCTCTTGACCTCCTTTTCTCCACTTCATCAGATGAACGATTCTTATCCATTAAGATTCTTCAGCACTTAGCTGTTCCCTGTTTATCTGCGGTTATAGTCTATCCCACCATATATCTTAACTTAGGTTAAACAATGATACAGTAGATGCACTGGAAAATTGAGAAGAACTCTTCAGCAAACTTTGGAAATGCAATGGTAGAACAGGATACCTTTCTATCAGATAAACTACTGTTTAAAATTAATAAAACTAAAAATAAAGCTATATGCAGAATAGAAGTTTGAGGCTTGGTGGGGGGGTGGCATTTATGGTCAAACTGTCTTTATAACCAATAATGTAATTTTCATTAAACTACTACTGTTTGAAAGAATATGAGCATATCCTCCTTTGCCTATGCAATAGTAGCATTGCAGAGCTGATGATGAGTGCAGTCATTCAGTCAGAACTATGATGTTGAACTCCTGTCCCTTTTCTATTATTGTCTGATTTGGTACTTGATGAGCTTTACACAATTAGATGGAGGACACTATTATACTGGGTAAAATACCCAATGTGATCAATATTTTTTCTGGTTTTAACATGAAAAAAATCCTCCTAAACTGAACAGACTTTAAAATGCCATTTTAGATTGATGGACCAACACTGAATGTGTCTTTTAAAGAAAGGACACTTTTCAAAAGCTTAGTGGTAGAAGATTATTGGGGAAAAAAGAGTTATTATGCTTTTGCTAGCCCAGCAGCTATGCCAGCTGTGTTTTAACTGGACCAAGATCCTTGTGTACAATATCAAAGTATATGAAACAATAAAACAATAACCTTACTTTATAACTTTTTTTTTCTCTTGGAAGGTTCAGCATCTGTTTGAAAAACAGTCCCACTTAGAAATTATGAGGAAACGTGAAGACAACTTAGAAAAACAGAAAGCTGAACTTATTAATCAAAAAAGCAATCTTCTTAAAATCTTGGTATGTTTCCAGCTATGGTATTCAGACAGCTCTTTTCTACTGGATGAGTGGTCAGCTATAAAATTTCAAAATATGGAAGAAGTAATGTTTTGAATCTGTAATTTTTTTTTCTGTAGCATACTTAACAATGTAAATTTAGATAAATTCTCACTTCTAATTTAAACTGTGATCTAAGGTTACATATGCTGCAAGTTATCTACACAGGTGATTTAACATTCTTGACTTCATTTTCTAATATTTGCTGTTGTATGACTGAACAGCTATTCTGCCATATTATTTCCTTTATAGAAGAAAACAAGGAAAGTCTCACCTTAAATTAATTAGACTGTTTCATATACAATAAAACACTGAGAAGGATCAAAGGAAAAACTCAGGGAGGCCAACACCACATTTTAGGAATCCTGATACACCACACAATCTCTTTGATGCTAAACACACCTAGTCACCTTTTAAAAGGTATCTAATTGCAACTTATACAGACAACAAACTTTACAGTTCTCCCTTGTGCTAACTTGACTATTGCCCTCTTCTTACTTCATTGTGGATCTGCAGATACTAAGAAACACCACGGATGAGTGTTCTTCTTTGTACTTCAAATCAGCAGAGCAGAATTTTAAATATTAAACGTTTAAACATGAATCACCAGTATTAACACTAAATCTTTAGGCAGATATCTTTTTAATTAAGTAATATTTCTTCAGCGTCCAAAGCATTCTCAGTCCTAATTATACACAGAAAGAAAGAATAAATATTAAGTATCACAGAAGAAAATATTTAGCTATGAAAGCTAAATATCCTTTGAAGAAGTGTGAAGCGTCTTTTAATTGCAACCAGTCAAGCTGGATATGCTGGTTATCATTTCTATCTTTCTGTATAAAGATGTCATTTCTTTTTTTTTGATTTAGCAATTGGTTAAGATTTTTTTAAAGGACTTTAATATTGCCTTTCACTTTAGAATCTGTTTTCCAGAAAATGAAACATTGACTACCTATTGACTATAGCTTCCTTGGTAGTTATTGAGGGAGTTAAAGTAAGTCTGCATTCTGCAGAGGAATAAACACCACCTTTATTTCATTTAACATGAATCTAAAAAAAAGAGAGGTCATATTATGATACTGATTTTAAACAGAACTTCCTACTAATTTCAATAACAAGTTGAACAGAAAAACTGCTGGCACAAGTCTGTAACATAATGTAGTGATTTTGTAAATGTTTTAATTATTTTTTATATAATACATCTTTCACTTTTTCAGAAAAAAAAGCTTAAATCAACAGACAAAGTGATAGAGTTGTAGATAATTTTCACATTGGGAAATGTAAATATCTTACATTTATACTAGAACTTTAAGGGTAAACAACAACAGTGTGTTTCTGTCTGCCTAGCTTAACGAAAACTTTCTTTTTTTCACCTGAACATTCATTTTTCCCTTTCTTTTTTACAGACAGATGCAAAGAGAAAAATGACTGAAGAGGAATATAATTTTACTAGAGAAATAACAGAGTTTAACAATGAGTATGGACTAACAAGTAATAGAGATTTTCTGATTAAAAAAAAGGTCAAGATTGAAATAAATGATTTAGAGAATGAGGCAGCTCTGTTAAAAAGTGGTAAGTCTTTTATTATTTTGTCTTCGATTACCCAAGAATGGATACAAATTCATAAAATATAGCTGTGCAAAATAATTTTAATTCCATTCCCTTGCTGTCTGGAACTTCCTCTTAGCACTAAACTAAAAGACTGTGATCTGATATAGCACATTACACAACCATAATGAAAGCCTCTTCTATTCCCTATCCTCTTCAGTCCTTTCTGACTCTCAGCCCCATGAGGAAAAGACGCAGACCTGCACAAGTAGCTCCCAACGTCTAATGTCAACCAGCACAGAGGTACACTGTCACACATCGTGTACTAGATTAGGTTTGCAATTATAATCAAATTGAGCTATGTAGATTTCTTGAGCTTTGAAAGATATCTTGTAGGAGTGGTCTTACTGCCACACTATATCTTTCTGTTAAGATACAGAATATGAGATTTCTCAGAACAGAGTCAAACTGAAAAACAATCCTTCAGTAAGGAGATAGGAGTCACCATGGATCACAAGCTGAACATGAGTCAATGACATCAGAATGCCAACACCATACTGAGACATAAACATAATTCTGACCTCTAAGACATTCAAAATAATCCTCTAATCTGTTTAGGGCAATTAAGCTCTTAGCTGGAGTACTGTGCATCTAGTTTTGGATGTTGTACTTCAAGAAAAAATGTGGACCTGCTGGAGAGAATCCACCTAGAACCAGATCATTAGAAGAAGAAAAATCAAATAATTGGGACTATTTAGCCTATGGAGGATAAAAACAGTGGAAAACTGATATTTAACCCTTTAAATCCTTAAATGGTCTGTAAAAAGAAAATTAATAGGTTCTCCATACCTATAGTGAACTGAATAAAAAGTATCTAGTGTAAACTACAATAATGGAGATTCTGGTTGGGTGTTTAGAAATCTTTCTAAGAAGCACAGTGAACAAATGAAAAACTCTGCCTTAGGAGATTCCATTACCAAAGGTCTTTAAGAGTGGGTTGGACAAGCATCTGTCAGAAATAACAAGAGGTACAGCTAATCCTGCCTTCAGGAGGAGGAATGGAGATGACCACTCAAAGTCCTTTCCAGTTTCGTGATTCTATGATTCATTGAGTGCCTGCACTTTAAATATCTGATGTAAAGTTACTGACATGTAACTGTCCATTTGAGTTTGTACTTGGTGGTGACTTCTCTGTATTTTCTGTGGCTCTGATTTTGATCTACAAATGAAAAAAAAATCCGTTTGGTAGGTACTGATAATTTTAATGATTAACTTTTACATATTCAGACAAATCTAATCAGTCAAATGGTCTCTCAAAGGTTAGATAGGTAGGACCTGAAAGGTGACTAATATTCTTCTCTGGGTTCAGTTGCTGTCTTGATTCCGTCCTTTCAAATTGCACTTTTGTTGAAGTACAACTTGTTTGCTTTTCTGTCTGCTACAGTCCTGAGCACACTGACAACACTAAAGAGAGAAGTAACCCATAACAAGGAAATTATGTGAGGACCTCCAGTTGTCAGGAAAAGAATCACAATTAATTCCAGATGCTGTCAACATTCAGGTTCAAATGTCCATAACACCAAACAAAATAAGTTCTTTTTAGTCCTGCTGAGAGGTGTTTGTTCACCACCTATTCAATAAGTCATCTTCATTTATAGCTGAAGTAACTCTGAAGCAAAACATTCGTAATTCTTTTTATGCCCAGTCAAAAAAAAAAAGTCAAACATCTTAAGAACATTAAAAAAACATTTTCTTTCACAGTTATGAACACATTATATGACACATAATTTCCTGTGAACTGGCTTTATGCAACCACTTTTAGTCATATATTTAAGGTTCTTTTTGACTAGCTGAAGATTGGTAGAAGTTGTTAAGAATATTTAAGATTATATCATGAAGCCTAAAACTGTAATGCATTTTAATTTAAAATATACTTTTGTCTTAGAAATTGAGTCAATGGAACATAAAAATGTTCAGTTAAATGCACTTCAGCTGCAGAAGAGTGAATTAAAGCAGTCTTTATTTAACCTGCAAACCGAACTCAAAGGTATGCCTGATAATCACTTGTTATGATAATTATTTGTGGCTTGACAAATGCTTCTGAACATTTTTTTCTGTCATTTTCTCAAGAAAAAGAAGTCATAGAAACAAGATTTTAATATTTTTACACTACGTAATACATCATCTTTAAACATGGTTAAAACAAATATGGGTTCCAATAAGATTTATCTTAAACATCAGTCATACTGAGGTATGTAGATCTACTGAATCATAACCTATACAAGATATTTTTACCTTTGCTGGTAAGTCATATACTGAAATGGATAATTTAGTGATTCAAAGTGAACTTAAAATATTGTTTTAAACCATTACCATATAATTAAACAATGTCCTTAAAATTCAAATGTTTAACAAGCATCATGGCTCAGACTGATGAAGACAGATTTGGCTGAGGTGCTAAACCTCTTGAGTTGTAAATTCAACTATTGTCTCTTTATTGATATTTGTGTGTTACTGTATGAAAGACTGTGCATAAAAAAGAAATCTATACAGAAAGCTGTGCTGCATACACAGGAAACCCTATAGAAGAAACAACTGAAAAGATACAGAGGGAACAAAGAAAGGTTCTGTGTCAAAGATGATCACAAGTCATAGGCATGATTTTGAAATTTGGATTAAAAAATGTAATCTAGAAGTGGTTTAGTAACTTTTTTACAAATGCATAAATAACATGTCACAATAAGAGAGCTAAGAAGGAAAGGCCATAAATATGGTCATAAATTGTTTGGGAAAAGGAACAAAATTTTCTAGAAGATTGCAACATGCATACCAATTACAATAATAAAATAATTCATATTCTTTGTCATGACTTTACCCTACAAGCAGTTTGGCAAAGAAATATTAGGAAAGATAAATTTAGAAAGTGTAGGAAGTCATTGAATATGGATGATTAATATAAGGTAATTGTTATTTTATGTTTAGACCTTGAGAAAGTAATCAAGGAGGCTGAAAGAACGACAAAAGATTTAGAAGCAGAAAAAGTCCAAGTCACTGAAAAACCTCAGACTGATCCTGAATGTTTAAGGTAAGAGTCTCGTAGTAGTAAGTTCTTCAAATTCATTTTAGATCTGTAACTACAGACTAGTCCTGGTGGCAATGAGTATTCTACCTTTCCTGTACAATGCTCCTTTGAAATCAGAAGAATCATTCATTTTTACTACAGAACACAAATTCCTGTTGTTTATTGCAGCCTTTCACCCTTACATGCGTACTCCAATGAACTAAAAACTGAAAGTGTTTGCAAGGCAGTCAGTCACACTGGGAGGAAGTGCAGAAGACTACTCCCTGGGTGGAAGGCCAGTTCTTAAGTTTTTGTAAAAATAGTGGTGGCACACAGAGTACTGATGAACTGCTCAGTGTATACGTACGTCTGCTGACTGCCTGCACAACCATCCCCAGAGCCCGAGTATAATGGAGTGGATTGGCCACAATAACCTCCTTGGGTCAGGTGGGCCTTGTATTGAAGCTACTATATGTAGATTTGTTTTCTCTGTAACCTCTACCATCAGTTCCAGTTTGTCTTCTCTTTAAGCTAGTTTAGAACAAAATTCTGAAGATTTAACCAGGAGAGAAGACTTTGCACAGTCTCCCTTCACAGTGAATATTGTCCCCAGGAACTGAGTGCTAATGACTCAATTCTTGTCAGTTTGCTTAAGTGTGACATTTATGTTTTCACCATACAGAAAATAAAACTAAGTTTTCAACAAAAAAAATCTTCCAATGCAGAAAGCCCCATATCACAGAATTCTCCATCCTTTTCTTACTTTATGGTGTTCCAAATGAAAGTGCCTGTGGATATTTAAAAATATTTAATAGACAATGCAAAGGAACTCCTCCTGGAAAAGCTGGTCCGAAATATTCTCTAACAGAAATTGTTAGGGGAAACACAACTCCTGTTACCATCACATTTTTTTTCCTATACATTTCTGAGTTTTTGACAAAAACAAATAAATATCAGGGTTTTTTTTTTCTGAAAACTTTCAATGGGAAAATAATATTTTGCGGAGAACCCTGAGCATTTTTCTGTAAGATGATTTGGTAATGGTCCATTTTTTGCTGAATGCAATTTCCTTAAAGAAAATGATATATCAGTCTTATTACTAACTCTCTTCAACCTCTTACATGGTGTTGAGACATGGCCAAAATTCCCTCAGCATAAAAATTAATTAGCTCACAATTCTGCATACAGTAGCAAAAATTTTGTATTCAACATATACATGGAAGACACAGTGTAAATAATAATAACAGCAGTGATTCTGTAAGACAGCATGTTATAATTCACTCTTCTACATTATTCATTCCATTGTAATATATTAGGGCTTGTGATACATGAGGTGGTTAACTTCCTTCTAAATAACGTACTTCCCGTGGAGTAGTTTACTGCCATGATGCCACTTTATATTCCAATTGGTGTAATTAGTTTTCTGTAACAGGTTTGCTGCGTATAAGGTGCAGAAGTAGCAAACATTATACTACTTTAAGTGGCCAGCTCTGTCACTGATTGCTCTGAGATCCTAGGCCAATCATTCAAATCCATGTATGTCTGTCTTTCTATATGGGGAAATTAACTTTGGTTTTTTATCCAGGTGGAAGACACAACAGTGTGTAAAATACATTTTATTAGCTGCAAAACGAGCAAGTGCCATTTACAACAAAAGCAAGAAGACTGATGAGAGTTTTTTCATTTCATAAAATGCCTCCATTTATGGCCAAGATAAGCTTATATTATTCGATAATTGCATGTAGTGCAAAATACAAAGTGCTCCTACTGCTCTAACTATTCTCACAAAAAGCAAGCGCTCCTTGAGGTGTAATAATATATTGAATAGATGTTCTTTACATTGAAATATCTTTTTATTTCTGATACTGAAACAAGTTTAGGACAAATTTACCTAAATCATACTTTTGTATTGCACTTGCTTTCTATCAGAAAAGCTCAATGCTTCATAGATAGACATAGCCCTGAATTAACTCAGATGCCAGAAGCAACATAGCTGTTACTGTATTTCTGTGTTAGCACGAAAAGATTCTGCTTTCTGGTAGAGCCAAGCAGAAAATCCTCATTTGTCTACTTCTAAATGTCATAGCACTGTGCTGTTCAGAATTATCCCAGACCTTATCAGACTCATGCGACTCCATCAGTTCTTTTATTTTTCTTTTTTTTTAACAAAACCTACTCATCACTTCTTGGTTTGGACTCCCGAATTAAGAGAATGAAAGGAAGTTTAAAGTACTATATGCTATAAATAGTGCAGGTACTCCCTGGAGGTACCTGATCACCCTCCAGTACCTACAAAGAAGTCATCAAGAAGATGTATCCAGGATCTGCACAATGCTGCACAGTGGGAGTATAAAAGACAAAAAGCAGAAGTTGAAACAAAAGGGGTTTACCATGAATTTAAGGAGAAACTTTTTACCATGAGGATAGTATAGTGAAGGAAAAGGTTGCCCATAGAAGTTGAATAGTTTTAATCTTTGAAAGTTTTCAGACTTGATTGGATAAAGCTCTGAGTAACCTGGTCTGACCTCGTAGCTGACCCTCCTTTGAGAAGGACATTGGGCTAGATGACCTTCTGACATCTCTTCCAGTTTGAATTATCCAGTGAACCAATTATCAAGTGGGTTGCACAAGGGGGAGGAAACAGCCCATAGATCAATACATATGCACTGGCTTGTGCCTACACTGCTCAGAGGCAGCATTATCTACAACAAATCAGTCATCTCCATGCTGCCTAGCATTTGGTGAGATCATGTCTGCTCTGGTTCCTTTGTAGTGTCTCTGTAACATTAAGATACAATGTCATGTACATGGAAATATTGTCCATTCAAAACGCATTAAATACTTAAAGGAGTCATGTCTAGCACAGCAGAGCACTGGATGAAAATGACACCACCTAGCACGTGTGTTGCACACCCTGTGATGTGCCACAGAAGTGTTTGAGGGACCACAGCTGCTGCAGCAGAGCACGTGCTGATGCAGTCCATGCCTATAGTCTCTCTGGAGCAGATCCTTGAGCATCCGCTTCTGTGGGTGCCCTCTGAAGAGAATCTGAGAATAAAGAATTCATGTAGCGTCAGTGACAAAAACTAAAGTACCAGGCACCTGGGGTGAACCAGGAATTTCTCATGACAGTCTAGATACACCTTTGGCACTTGCAAAGGACCTTTTGCAGCCGAAGTCACAATTAATGCAATCTTATATATACACCAGTGTATATCTTCATGGGAATCTGTTTTGGTCATGTTAAAGTCAATGTGACTGAACCTAAGGTGTTTGAGAAACAGCCCTTTTTAGCCTAACAAGATAAGCCTTTTTCCCCTGTACATAATCTATTACAAGAATAAAATTTTAGTATATATAAAGAGTAGACTGTTTTGACACAAGTAACATGGATCAAAAATATATATTTTTTTCTATTAAATCAGTACAAAATTTTAATTTTTTTTTACAAAGCAGGAAACCACACCACTCTTTAAATGGTGAAAATACCAATGTTTTTAATGCTTCCTTAGAACAAATGTGAGAGACAGTCAGCATCAATAACCTGATATATGTAACTCCCAAACCACCCTGTAAGTCTGTTATTATATCACATACCTAGTCCCAGCCTAAAAATCAATATCAAAAGTAGCTGGCAAGGCAAGAATCTTCATTACAATTAAGCATATATCTTAAAGTAAATTGCATTTCAGCTGAAGAGTGTAGCCAGCTAATTCATATTACAGCAATTCATCTTTGATCTGAGAAAAATGCCCTATACCATGTCTGCAGTTTCATAAAATTTCTCCCAGATCCATCAAAGGATTACAAAAGGTCATGAGAAGCACACACTGGTAATTCCAACAGCTGTTGGTGCTGCAGTTATAGGCTTGCTCTAATACACATCAGGTACAGGAAGAAGCTAACCAAAATGTGAATGTTAAGCACAGGTATGGTTATGGACAAGACAGTGTACACTCTTCCTCAAATTAAGCACCATGGAAATCATAAATCTCATGATACAGGTGCATAATTCAGAGAAATATTTAAGGAAAGAGAGCTTTTTTTTTTCTTTTTTTTTTTTTTTTTAGAAGAGGTTTGCAATTAAAAAAAAAAGTTTTAAGGAAAGAGAGTTTTTTTTTTTCTTTTTTTTTTTTTTTTTCAGAAGAGGTCTGCAATTAAAATCAAAAGTCTTATTTTAATAATCTATTCTGCCAATGCCAACCCCAAACACAAAACAGTAAGAACTTTGGCATCAGCTCTCTGGAGTCACATTTCGCTGGCATATTGCAAGTGGCATCACTTAAGTGGAACAATACAGGAGTCAAGCAGAAACTAACTGATACCAGTAAATTCCTATCTATGCCATTTCTCTATTATATTCATTGTAATTACTTACTATATTAATTATTTATCTTCTTTCAAATTTTAATTATAATTTTTCTGTTGTCTTATGTAAAGGGACCTAGAAGTAATTTTAATTACATTTTATTTAGACTAAGAACAGAGAGTTTCTACCTAGAATTGTTATTTTTCACACTATTCTAAAGATAGAGCAAGGATAAATTGTTTCTTTCAAACCTGAATTGCTGTTCTACTTCAGAAAAGCAGTAGCAGAAGGGAAATGCATGAAGTCAGCTTACTTTGTAAATAGTTCAAGACTTTGTGTACTTGCCTAATTCCTAAAAATATAGTATTTCTTCTTACAATTCATAATACAGAAAAAGAAACTCCATTACCAATATTATGAAGAAAAAGTTATGCTTTTTTTCCATACAAATCATACAGGAAACATGTTCATTAGAGCTGAACAAATGTTTCACACTAACAACAGCCTGCCTAAGGCCACGGAGTCTAAAACCACCATTCTAGTGGTTTAAAAATTTTTTTCAACTGAACTTTATGTTAAATTTTATAATCAGGAAATATCAATCTCTGGAGTAATATATGTGGTCCAAAATGAGTTTTTTAATGACAATCTCCACATCAAGTTTTTAAGCTTTTCTTTTTAATAGCTGTGCCCAGTGGAACTATTTTAGTTTGAA